CATCTGATGATTCATGAAAAGGGTTTATGTGAGGCTATCTTCCGAGAACTACTGCTTGGAGAGGAACCCTCCATTTGATAATTAGCCCTGTTCACCTACCAACTGAGGAAACATGCTCAAAATACACATTCTCTGTTTGAATGGACATCAGTGAATCATGTAGAACTACCATTCCATGGAAATTAATGCACTTAACCTTCTATTTTATTAAAACAAATTGCATTGCAACAAGAAGGTCTGACTCCTCAGGACTGGAAACAAAGAAAAGGATGACCAATCTAGCTAGCAGCATAACCAAGTACACATTTATTGAAACACTAAACAACATTTATTGAAACACTACACTAGAACATGGTGAGCCTTGGAAATTTTGCCTTTCTGCAGATAAATTGGATGTCCTTAAATTTCTCTCCATGACTCAGGCAGAAGGGTTCATATTTTTGTAAAATTCCATCACCCAAAAGTTGTAAGCAGGACATATTTGTTTCAAAGCTGAGAAACCAGCTTCTCTTGCCAAAGCCTCATACTCTTTCTTTGTCCTCTCTTTTGCACCAGATAAAAACTGAAGCATTCTTATGTCAAACTCAAAGACAATTTTGTCGATAAGATCACTCACAGGTGATTCTGGTGCTAAAAGTTCCACCACCACCACCTTACCCGATTTTGGCAAGGCATCATAACAATTTTTTAGTAGCTTCAAGCAGTGATCATCATCCCAATTGTGAAGTATCCACTGTTCAAATTTTTATGCACAAATCTTAATTCAATCCACTAGAATATATAATTCCCAAAAATAATCCATGGTACTAATGGCAAGCATCTATATACTCTGGTTTTGTTCTGTTTCATATAATGAACTGCTATGTTAGGTTTGTGTTTTTTTTTTTTTTTTTCCAAAACAATACATAGAAACAAAATCACTAACCTTCAAGATAATGGTTTGTCCTTGAGGAACTTTAGTGAACATGTCTCCTCCAATGTATTCCACACCTAACAAGACATTGATAAAAGTAGTGTTAGCACCGAGGACGAGCTAGAAAATAATCTTAGCGAGGTGAGTTGTCATTTGAAATGTATATGTTAAAAATAAATTGTTTGACTTGTAAATTAAATTAAGATGTAAACATACAAAAACTAAAATTTGAAGAACTTTAAATATAAAAAATTGTTAAAATT